TTCTTTTCTTTTTTCTTCTTTCCTCCTCTTCCTTACCCCCCCCACTCCCCCAGCGGGGACGTGCGTGTCCTTCCCCCCCCCTCCCCGGGGAGAGGGACGCTAAGACGGCAGGGTGTCCCCCCGCCCTCCGCCGCCTTTGTGCGGAGCGGGGCCGCATCCGAGCCGGGGGGGGGGGGGGGGTCCCGTTCCTCCGACTCAACCCGGACAAAGTTTTGGGGCAGCGCCGCCTCAGCCTCCCTCCGCCGCCCTCCCACGGTGTCCAAGGAGCCACGCGCTGTGGGACACGGGGGGGTCCCGTGCCGAGCCCCGGCGAGGAGGGGCCGCGCTGTTGTCGGGCAGAGTAGGGCCGCGGGCAGCGAGATGCTGCAACCGGGTTTTTTTTCTGCGAGCAGAGGAGGGAGGGCGGTGGATTGAACTTTGTCATGTCGCAGATAAGTTTCCTCTGGCTTCTTCTCCCTCTGCTTCTCCCTCCACCTCTCCTCTGCACGCACGCGGCTTTTTTTTTCTTCTTTTTCTTTTTCTGTATTTTTCATTTCTTGTTATTCTTTTCTAAACTTCCCCCCCCCCTCCCACCTCTCAGCTGCACCCTGGCGGGGGGAGCCGAGCCCTCATCAGACCACCAGGCCCAACCGCTGATGCCCTGCTGCTTCCCCGAGCCGCCAGCATCCTGCCCGTGGCAAAGCTGCATTCGGGGCGAGCGGGCAACAGCAGTGCCATCCCAACTCCTTTTTGCCTGCCTGCACCTCGCCATGGAGAACAGAGTCCTATGGCCGAGTTTGGGGCAGCACACAGTTGGTGTGCGCTGCCATTCCAGCGCTCTGCCTTGGGGAAAAAAACTTTGCTTATTAACAACGGGAGCAGTTGCTAGCTAAGGCCGTCTTGTCACCCTGCAGCACACAGCTGTTAGGGTGGCTGAGGCTCTTGCATCGAGGTCTGAAACGAGCCCTGCGTTTTGTTACCGCAGTTCCTGTTTTCCGCCGGGTCAGCGTGAGCGAGAGGGATGCGGTGACTCAGGGTCAGGCCAGCCATATTTGTTTTAGGTTCTAATTTTCCCTTTGAAGATTGAGGGGTATACAGTCTTCTCTTGGTGTGCCTGCATAATGCCCATTAGCCTTAACGGGTGTTAGGTATGTGCAGGGAAGAATGGGCCCTTTTGTTTGTTAGAAACCTAGGAACAGCAGGAGCCCATCATCCCATCAGCCCAAGGACCAGGGCTGCCCTCACCTGCTGGTGTGATGCCCCTCACCCTTTGCTGCTCCATCTTCCTGCTGCCGGCATCCCACCCCCGGACAGCACTGCATCAGTGGTTGGAAACACACCGTCCTCTGGGTACAGTGCAGAGGACAGCTCAAACCTTTCCTTTTACTTTCCTTCTCTCCTCAAAATCCCAGGCTGGATGTGGTTCTGGGCAGCCTGGTCTGGTGGTTGACGACCCTGCGCACAGCGGGGGGGGGGGGTTGAAACAAGATGATCATTGTGGTCCTTTTCAACCCAGGCCATTCTAAGATTCTATGATTCTGCTTTGCAGGAAGCTGGTAGTTGTCAAACTGTTGTTTGTCCGCCAGTAGTGATTGTTTTCCTTGCCACTATTTCCCCTTGCCTTCGATAAGTAGTGACCCTAAAAAATATGCATTTTAAGGCAGAAAGTAGCAGGGTGTCTGCTGGCGTTTTTTTCCCTCACCCAGAGCTGGGCCGTGCGGATGTTGGAGCAGGAGCTCTGACTCAGCTCCTGCAGGTTGTGCAGCCGTCCTTAATACCTTGCAACATGCACTGCCCCCCTGCCCTTCGTGTTGTGATTTTGAGGGTGCAGGAGAGGCTTGATGTTTCAAAACTGGGCAAGCCGAATGTCTTAATGATCTTTGAGTAATATCCATAATCTTCTTCGGTACCAAAGGCAAGTGCAGTGTTTCCCAAGGCAAACAGACAGCGCCGTGTGTCCTGCTTCTCTCGGTCCTTAAGGATGTTATCGCTTCGTCTGCATTGAAGTTGCACTGCAACCGTAACAATAGCTTGGCTTCGGCCAACAAAAGTTTCTTCTTAGGCAGAAATGCAGCTTGGATTGCTTTCAGTAGGATTTCTTATTTAAGTATAACCTGTTTGTGTACTTGCATCGTATAGATTAAAAACATATAGATAAATCCCTTTGGTTATGTTCATTATCCCTTGTAAAAGTAGGTGGTGCTTAGAAGGTCATAGGATAAGTGTTGCTAAGCAGCTAAACAGAAGGATGCTAAAATTAACCTGAGTGTTTTTGTAAGGGATTCACTTTTTAAGTTGCAATGGTTTTTTTGATTGACTTCAAATACAAATTTTAGATAGTAAAACATCGGACAGAAATTACTTAGAAGCATGAAGAAGGCTTTCTGGAGGACTGCGTCGAGCAGTCAGGTTATCCAAGCACAGAAGTAATTCCACCCTTCTCCAATATGCCTAAATGTGACCAGGATTGGGCTCTCTCTGCCCTTTGCAAATGTCCTTGCGGAGTTATCTGCTGCTCGCTTCTCCAGGAGCATCTTATGCATGTTGGATAGCAGCCTGCAGCGACTGTGGAGGCTCCCCAGGAACGGGCAGAAAACAAGTAAATCCTGTTAGGCTCAACTCCATGCGCGTGCAGAAAAAGCCCCTTTTAGCTTTTTGATGGATGATGCCTGGGTTTGGAAATGTGTGTTTTAGGTGTACACTCTTGCAACGTGTGAAATCATGCCTGCTGCTTCCAGTGCAATGCAGGCTGTTGTAAAACGAGCGCATTGTTGGGCCGCGCCAGCAGCGTGAGCCGGCCGCCTCGCCGACCTGGTGCTTTCTGTCTTGGAGGTAATTGTCCTCGGAGGGGGATGGCAGCGCTGCGTGCAGTTCTCCCAGCAGCATTGGGCACGTCTGTTGCTCTGTGTCTTTTTCCTTTACTTCCTTTCTGAATCCGAGCAAAGTGTGGGATTACAGCTTTAAAATATGCTTTCTTTGAGAGTATTTGGCACATTGAAAAGGAGCCGGGAGCTGTTTCACGTTCCTCTGAGTGCAGCTTCATCGTGGATGTAGTGCTCAGGTACCCTGCAACTCTTTGAAAGAGGGTCTGGAGGAGCAAAAGTAAATTCTGGGGGTGAGAAGAGTTCCGTTTTGAAATGACAAGTTGCTTGCTGCTGGGTGAGAGATCTGACCTGTCAAGTTGTTCAGAACTTAACGCAGATTTTCCTTGGGGAGGCATAAGAGGAATCCTTTCTGTGTGTGTTGGTTGGTTTTTAGTATCCTACGTAAAAGAGCAGCTGTGGGAGCTGCCCCCCCCCCATCCCCTCTTGCCTTCCATTTAGGAGCATCTCTACAGGCAGGGCTTGGGTACCCTCAGTGCATCACCTGAGAGTGATGTTTCCAAAAAGTGAGCTGCCTGTGTAGGGCTGGGAAGGGCCTGGGGCTTGGAGAGCTTTGCCGGGTCAGGTTTGGTTATCAGTGCTCCATTACAAATGAAAATAGGTGAGGTTGGGATGGGAAGTGCTGGTCTGGCTCTGAACAGGAATTTCAGGAGCGTTGCCTCTTTGCTTTTCAGTGCAAGAGCTCTGGTGGCTCATCTTTGATGTCTGCCAGCTGTGGCATTTTCCCACCTGAAGTCCTTCCCTCCCCTCCCTTCCGGCTGTCCCTATTGCAGCCCTGAGGGCCCGGGACATGGCAGTGAGTGTGGGGCAGCAGCACCAGAGCATCCCATTCTCCCATTCCCTTCCCGTCTAACTCCCAGCAGGATGACAAAACTTGCTTACAGCTCCTGCTGATGTTTTGTGATGAAATGTTACAAGTGCCAATAATTGCCAGTTGGAGCGTATGCTGTGGCTTCGTGTTGGATGGCTGGTTTGTCTTGTGCTGCTCTCTTGCAACAGTGGGATAGGGTCAGAACAAGGAAAAGGGCCTGGACAAAAGGGAGAGGAGTCAGTGGAATCCTGGGCACACAGCTGTGTCTCAGATACTTGCTGCAGACAGAGATGAATTGTCTGATGCGACTGAGCAACACCTGGACCTGTGCTTCCTTTAGAAATAGCACGGGTGCTCTGCTGTATCCTGTTGTGCTTTTTTTTAATAGTGGTATTTCTGCTTTCAGGTTGGCCAGCCTAGCAATCAATAAAGGTGGCTGCCTTTGAATAGGTGCTTTACACAAAAGAAGGAGTTGATGGGTGGAGACTGTTTATTCAGAGTGATTCAACTAAGTAATGCTAAGGGACTCTGAATGCCTCTTTAAAGATGCAGAGAAAGGCAGCTGTTTTAACAGCGGGATTCACCTGAAGAGCCCTGGCCATCCACAGAGATGCTAGAGGGAGGGAAAAGAAAAGCTGCCAGAATCCCCCAGGGGCGTTGTTAGGCTCCTGGACTGAAACAAGTATTCCAAGGACCATTAGGGAGAGGGGCCTTTAACACCTTGATGGCCATCTCCTTTGCTGCACCTGGAATGCAGCTTTGAAATTCCGTCGTTTTCCTGCATCTAACCTTCCTCGACAAAAAAAATGTTTTGTGTTTAATTTATTTACTCATTTAATCTCATATGTTTAATCTTAGGATCTTGATGGACACTTACGCCTTTGGAGAAAGCATCCCCTGGTCCTGGTGTCCGGTGTTTCTGTAAAGATGTGTTTGCACAAGGGATGTTACTTTGTGTAGAGCCCTCAGAAAGTGTTGGGTGAGCTGCTTTCACTCTGTAGCTGAAGGACTTGACAGTTTAATTGCTGTCAGCTTGGAAAAATGAAATTCTGACTTTTAAATCACTTTTTAAGTAAAAAGCATCTTAGAGATGTCTTCTGTGCTGGTGTACTGTGACTTGCTAATTTTCCACTGAAAATAAATGTATGTTGTGGTTAATAATGGACATGTCAGTCCCTGGTAGATGTAAGACTTCTCCGGTTGTGACTTCTGGTGGAGATTTTATAGCACATGCCTTCTTGATACAGTGCAAACTTGCTTGTAGGTGTTGTAGGAATGGGTTGTCAGCATCATCCGTCCTTGGAAAACAGGATGATCAACTGCTGACAAACTTTTTTTTTTGTTAATTTAGGTATATGCCTGCTCCCTAAAGATGAGAGGAGCGAAATGCTCACATTGAAGCATGGCTGCCTTTCTTTTATTGTGTGAGATTAGCTGGTTTGAGTGAGAGCCCCTGTTAGTCCCGTTCCATACAGCAGGTGATGTTAGTGTGCAGATGTATCAGTGCCTGGGAGTGTTCTGCTTGGAGTACTTGCATCACAGCAATAAATTCCATTCCTGTGTTGAGGCCGTGCTCCTTCACACTGCTATCGCTGCTGCTTGGACAAGGGAGAAACTGCTTTGTATTTTGCACATTAAGTATCAGTACTTCCTTTCATTTCCTTTAGGGAGCAACGTCACTTTTAATTTGGTCCACTTGCAGCTTTGGGCAGGGGAAAGAGCCTGGCTTAAGTTCCTTGTTCACTACACAGAATGTGTTTTCTTCATCAAATTAAATTCAGATGATTAAAATCATCTCTCAGCAGACATGAAGCATCAGGATGTGAATACCAGTGTGCTGTTCTTCCTCTGTGTGCGCCTTTTTTTCTGATGGTGATGAAGTTGTGTGTGTATTGAGGACAACAGGTGGCTAGGGCGTCTTGTGCATGCATTTACCAGCTTTGTCCCCTCCTTATTTCCAAAAGCCTGAAGATATCCTGAATTGATGTTCACATCAACTTGTAGTGCAACAAATATTTTTTGAAAATAGGTCCTGATGCTTTTGGACAGGAGGAAGGAGAGCTGTGGGAGGAGGGTTGCTTGTCAGGTGAAACCCTGCAGGTCCAGAAAGTGGAACTGCATGCTGTGGGAGAGAGAGCTGTGTTACTAAAGGCTCCCTTTTATGAGATTTTCCAGTACGTTCCAGGGGAAGAAGTGTGAGTGCAATGACAAGTGCTTCTCAATGAAGATACAACTTGTGCCTTGACTTGGAGAATGTATTTCTTTTGGCCTCTTTTTCTAACAGCTGCAGGTGTCGATGGTTCTTCCTTATCAGGTGATCCAACCAGGCATCAGTGCAACTTACCAGTTTCCAAGTGAGTTTCAAAACTGTGGTCCTAGGCAGCTTGTGGAACAGGTCTTGGCTCATCGTCCAGCTTTCACAGCAGATAGATGGCTTTTCTGCTCAGGAAGGTCTCTTAGCAGTACTTGAACTGGCAGGAGCCTGACTGCCGTGTTGTGAAATGGCTGAGAAGCTGTAGCACCGTGCTCCTAATTCCCTGGTGTAAATGTAGGTTATTGTTGGAAACTGTGCTTTTCTTTAAATTGTGAAGAACTGATTATTTTTCTATCAGCGTTACCTGCACTTCGTGGGAGGTCTGTCTCCACTTCCTGGGGGTGGGTGAGGTGATCTGTACCTCCCCATGGATGCCAGTTACCCTGGGAACAAGCCATGCCCATTGTGAACTCTGCAGGAAGAAACTGGTGGATTCCATGAGCTCGGCAGCCCTGTTAAAGACACTTCAAGCCATTCCCAGGCTCTGCTTTCAAAGCTCCTGGAACATGTAAGCTCTTTAAATCTAGTGACTGAGGATTTTCCATGGTTCCCAAGGCAAAAAAAAAAAAAAAAAAGGATTGGAGTAAGTGGTAAGGTTTCTCATCTTAAACACTGAACAGTCAGCAAATGAAAGTGGGGTGTTGGCAGGACTATCAAGCAAGCCAAGCTGAACGCAAATTGTGTCTCATCTGGCTGCTTTGACATGTTTAATAGATCAACAGATGTGTAAATAGCATGTAGAGGTGGAAAACATGGCTTCATTCGAATCAACTTTCTTTCAGATTTCACTGGATGAAGGTTTTATGTGGGGTATATACAGCTGAAAGCTCCCAAGCATTCATAGCACGAAAGATGCCAGGAAACTTTAAAAAGCTGAAATACTAATAGTGCCTTTGTATTTTTCTGGTGCTCGGAATTCCTACAGGTGTGCTTATAAAATCAGTGCATCTATTTTAGGACTTTGATAAACAACAAACTGACTTTGAGCTATAATAGCCTGTTTGATGAAACTGTCTTCTATCTTGGGTTTGGACATCACCGAAACAGCATGGGCATTGCTGCATCCCTTTTCTAAATTGTAGAGACTATGCTTTAGTTTTTGTGAATGCATTCCCCTTGATGAGAAGGAGGAGACTTGTCCTTCCCAGGCCTATCCTTCCCCCCCAGGAAAAGGGGAATGTGGAGAATTTTCCCCGAGGATGCATGTGGGGCGGACGGCCCCTGCATGTTTGGGGCAGAGTTTTTATTTACACTCTTGCGTAACTCTCGATCTCCACAGGAAAAGATGTGGGTCAGTAGATTGGGAATGCCATGGGCTTGCCTGGGGCTGCAGTTGGCCCAATAGCCAACGTGTGCTGGTGTCTCCCTGGTGTCGGCTGGGAGCCTCAAGTGACCTTGTGCAGGAGGAGCTGCTGATGCCTGGCTTGTGACTGGGCACACTGGCAGCCCTTCTTGCCAGCACTGCCTCAGTCGTGTGACTTGCATGCAGTAAGTGCTTCTGTTTGTGCGCTCACTGGCTTTCTTTTCAGAATGATCGCTAAAAGGTATTTGGGCCAAAAATGATTTACACTGAGCAAGGAGATGTCAGCACACTGCACAAACTGCACACTGTGTTTGCTGTCCCGGCGGGTACTTCAGACACAGCTCAGTAGCACAGATGTGTAGTAGGAAAGTCCAGGGTGCTGATTTAAAAATTTCCACTGTTTCTGGTAATGGATGTTTATACGGGGTGCGTAGTCCAGAGACCCTCAGAGTGGTGGTCTTTGTTTAATTCCCAGTATACAGATGCCAAGTGTTACGCTTTGATTTCCTACGCTGTAAACTCTTCGGGGCAGGGATCAGCATTCAATTACCGAGTTTTGAAAAGCCACCTAACACACTGTGGAACTGACCTGCTCAGCACTACCTCAGTATAAATGTTTAATTGTAACTATCTTCTTACGCCCTAGCGGAGGCTTTCCAGATATCAAGGTTGAGGCATGCTGGGAACCTGCACTGCTGCTGCTGAGGTGTCTGCCTATGGACAGAGGGCTTTGGTTGCAAGGCAGGATTCAGAAGGCTCTCATTGTAAGTGCCTGGACTGCACATGAGGGACAAAGATTCAGGATTGTTTTCTAGATAGTAGTATAAGTATATATTCAGGAAGATGGTGTGTTTGGTTTAGAAGCAAAAATTCTCTTCAATTTAATGCTTGTCTTAAGGCATCACGATCAGACCGCGTCCTTCTCTTTCATTTTATCTATACATCAGTATATAGAAATGGCAAATGTTACGATTCTGAAATGCAGAAATTAGAAGAAGAAACTGGGAATAGAAAGGAATCACCCCCTTGATACATCATGTTCCCAAGAGTGAAATGAAGTGCGGTTGCTGGCTCTTGCTGCTCAGAACGTAATCTAATTCTCCTGCCTTGAGTGACTTGCATTGTAGCTTTAAACTGGATTCTTAAATCACCCCAACAGTGATGTATGTATCATTTGTTATGTTTATACAACATGAAAGCATATGGAGTAATGGAAACAGCTAGAAATTAGACCTCCAGAGAAGACTCCCATTTTAATCAGGTTTCTTACTTGGATTAAACCAACCCAAATTTAAAACATGTGGCTCACCTACTAAACTGGTTGCATTCTCAGCACGTTGGGGGTCCGTCTGGGCGATGTGGGTGCATTGCAGTAGCCTGCTGCTGTCAGCTTTGTCAGAGCACTTTGGTGTTGCTAAGGTTGGAATAAGCTGATGTCAGATTTTTGTCCGCAGCACATAGCAAGTAGAGGTCAAACACTCGCGCAGCCGGTGATACTATGACTTGTTAAGAATGTACGCAGCAGGTCGCTTTTCAAAACATCTTTTGAAAGCAGCCTCTGAGAGCGGTGCCATGTGTAAGAGACATGCATCTTCGTCTGGCATCAGCAAATGGATGCATCCTATCACATTGGGCTGCTGAGCATGTTTAGTCATGTTACTGTAATAAGCTCTGGGAACAGGAATGGGTTTTGCCCTGCTGCACTCCGTGAAGATTTGAATTAATTTGACTGGTTTGTTCCAGAGGAACTCGTGCTGGTATCTGCTGTGTTTGTTCGGGGTACGTGAGACGAAGGCGATGATTTGGTTTCTTGGCTGAAGAAGGTTTCTTTGCAGTTTAGGACTGCTGACATTGCTGCACTTAGATGTGCCTCTTCTAAGGAAAAATAACTTTATAAAAAAAAAATCATAAATGACACCTAAAATTGTTTCTGGAGATGGTGGTGTATGTGTATGTTCAGCTTTGAGGCTCAGCTTTGCCCAGCCAGATGTAGGTTTGGGGTTTCTCCTCTTGCTTCCAGCTGTAGCCTTTAGACATCCCTACTTCTCCTGTCCCAAGGAACCATCCTAGCACACACAAAGATAGAACATTTGCTGTGGAGGGACTTACCATCTTTCTTTTTTTTTCTCCATCGTAGCACAGCTCATCCTAGTGGCTCTTCAGGTATGTTTAAAATGTGCTGGTGTGCGTGTACGTCGGAGGCAAGCGTGGATCATGCCAAGCGCTGATCCTGCAGACACTTCAAACATAGATATAATTCTACTTAAGGAGGTTGTTCCATTTAAGTCAAAATACTGGCATGGGTGAAGCGAAGGGAAGTGTTTCAGGACTAGGGCCTGTGTTTAACTTGCAGAAAAAGTATTCATGACACAAGCCAGAATCTTTAACCCATGTGAGCTGCAGCTCAGAGCGCGTCTCACTGGCTTCGGTTTCTGACCTACTTGAGAAAGCACTGCTCAGCTCGAGGCCGTGCGGCTGCTCTCGTGGCCTGAGAGGGGCCGGCTTGGAGGAGACGCGGTGACAGCAGTGGCTCTGAGCTCCAACTCCATCCACGCACGGTGCCTGCAAGAGTTAAAGCCGAGCGCTGGGGCAGCTCATGTGTTCTGTGTGTGTGCATACTTTCCTAATCTTGACATGGGGTCTGAGCAGGCTCTCAGAGCGTTCGCGAAGTTGGCTGCCACCTTTCCTCTCCCTGAATCTGGCTGCGGCTCAGCGCAGGGATGCTCCCCGCTGCTGGGATTGCTGGCTGCTGAAATCTTGTGCCTGTGAGGTCAGCCGGGCCAAAGGGTGCCCTGACACAGCTCACGCTGCCTTTGCAAGGGAGTGGCAGAGGGAAGAAGGGCTGCAGTGCGGCCCCTCTCCTGCTGCTGGAAGATGGCTTGCACACAAGTCGCGCTTTTGGGAGAGCTCTGCTGCTCTGCTGTCAGCATTTGGCTGGGGAACAGCTGCCTCCAAGGATGGGGTCTGGTTTAAGACAGGGCAGCAGCTGTACGGAGTGGGGCTCTGGGAAGAGTGGGGAGAGAGAGTGTGCATTTCTCTCCTTTAGGTGGCAAAGTCCTAAGGGCAATGTGGGCCTCAGCCATCGGGAAAGGAGAACTGCCGTTCCTTCACCTCACAGCATGGCTGTCAGAAGTCACTTCTGGACCAGAGTTTGGAAATGAAAGCTGCTCTTTTTTTTTTTTTTTTTCGCTTCGGTCTCCTCAGAGAGGCTGCCAGTGACCACCTCGCCCCACCCTGCAGACGTGTGGGTGGGAGGGGGGCAGCCAGCAGGAGGGAACATCACCAAACGGCAGAGCAGCGCCTTGGCTCGCCGCCACCAACAGGAGCAGCAGCAGCTGCCGGGATGGCCCCCGGAGCCTCACTGATGTCAGCAGAACCAGCGCTCCTTAAAGCCCGCACCGCATGCGGGGGGCCGGGGGGCACAGCTGGGAGCTGCAGTAAGAGGAGAAGGCAGGGTGTAAAAAACATTACTGCTTTTTTTTTTTTTTTTTTTTTTTTTTCCTCTCTCTGAAACAGACCTCTGCTTTCTGTAGGGATGGGAACGTTTTGCATGAGCGAGTGAGAGTTAGGAGAAATGCGTAAAAGTAGAACAAGTTACCAAAAGCAGGAAGCAGAAAGTAGAAACACTGTAAGGCTTGTGTGTGTCTGCAGTGTTTGCTGCTTGCTTGCTTTTTTCTTTTAAGAGAAACGTGGCTGGGAACAGTTGGGTGCTGTTAGATAAGTCCATCAGTGCCATTCCCTTCTCTCCATCCTGTGTTGTCTCTGAGAAGTTGCCATGCTGTGGCAGATCGTACTTTCAAACATCACACTGTGTTTGAGAAGTCTCTGGCTTGCCTGGGGATGCTGAATGAGATACGGCAGGTTGCAGTCCTGTGTGTGCTCTCTTTCCCTCCTGCCATTACTTGAGCAGGGGAGGGGAGTGCACAGCAATCTGCTGTTGGCAGCTCCCTTCCGCTCCCCTTTGCTGTTGCAGAGATGGCACACGCACCGCTGGTGTGGTTTACTCAAGCTGTCTTCCCTTGTGTGTTAATAGCAAGAGTCCCTGATAGTGAAAGGCTCTGTGAGTGAGGGCTGTGGGGCAGTTTGACCTCTCAGACGTGGGATTCACAGTGCAAAATTTCCTGTGATGAAGTGAATGCAAGTTGCTCTCAGGCTGTAGATGATCCTACTGATTTAGCGTTCGTGCAGTTTCTCAAAGTCACAACATGTGGTTTGAAATGCTGAGGGAAGAGGATACCAGCTTTTCCAGAACTGTGCTGCTCAATCACAGAACAAGGTTGGACTGGACGTGAAACTGGATTTCAGGGTGACGTGGTGATTGCTGTCTCCATTGGCCTTGCTTCTTCCCACAGTTGGGGAGTTGATTTTCCCAGTAGGGCTGTGCCAACTCAGTCTTGCTGCTCGTACTGTGGCGTTACCCCTGCACAGAAGTTGTATTTGAATGGCTTACAAGGGCTATCCAGTGTCCCAATGCAGTTGACAGGGGTAAGCCAGCCTATCCAGGTTTGTTGCAAAGCTGAATGTGCAAAACACTGTCTCCATCAAGGCTGAAGTAATAATAAGTTGCAGAGAGTCTGTCTTGAAAAACAAACAGCATAGCACAGGCATTGGGAAGGACTTCGTGCTCTTTTATATGGCCAATGCTCTTTGTTAACTCAGGTTAATTTACAAGTTGGATTAACATTTCCTATGTCATTTGGGTATTCTTGAAGTAATTAGCAGAAATGACACAGGGTCACAGCAGCTGTATAAAACAGAATAAGCATCTGCTTGTGTTCTTTTCAATCCAGACAATGGCATGAAAAATACGTTTAATGAAGGTGACAGAGACAGTAACAGAGTCAGCAAAAGAACCCAAATGCTCTGTATTCAGTGCTGTGTCTTCACCATTAGATCACGCTTCCTGTCTAGGCAGATGAACCCACATAAAACCCCTGGTTCACAAACAGATGACTTTCAAGTACTACAGCGTGGTAAAATACAGCTAGGGCTAATATATTTGCTCTGACTTTCATCTTGAGTGCCTGGTGGAACACCTGTAAGTATTTACATTTTAACATGAGCTTTTGTGCTTGTGAAAGCAGACAGTTTGACAGCAATGACCCCTCACACAAAAGCTTGAATAAGCGATGAACTTCCAACAAATCCATGACCTGAACTCTGCTGGGTGCATATTGAAGGCGACAAGTTAATATGGCCTGTGGCCGTGCCAACAAGGGGCCTGGCTTTGTGCTGGACTCTTCTGATGGAGGTGGTCTGCAGGCATGTCTCTCACCACTATCCCTGCCCAAAGTTCTTCACATAAGTTCTGGAAAATAAGAGGCCTGAGCTTGCTGCCTGGGTGAGGGCCTTAGGCAAATGTTTGCTGTAGAATTGACCTCAGCGTTTCTGGAGGTTTCTCATCCTGCTGCTTGCTCTGGCCCCAGGTGAAGGGCTTGGTTAGTGTAGATGAGAAGACAGAACGTGTCTTGTGCCTCCTGTGTGCTGCACTTCAGAGTTCGCTGTGCTTGAATTCAGTTGAGTTGAACTTCAGTTATGGGCATCTCTGCTGTTGGACACGTCCCTGCTTCAAGCATAGTAACCTCTGGCCATCAGACAGGGAAGACAGCTGTGGTATGGTAACCTCTGAATTCATCCTGACCTGAATAATGCTGAAGCTGCGGTTCCAGCAGTGTTTCGCCAGCTCTGCCCTGTCTTGGAATAAGCAGTTCCTGGTACCTGCTTCTCCACTGAAACTTGGGGTCAGAGCAGGGAATGTCTCTTCAAGCTGGCGCTGGGACTGGAAGAAATGCCTCTGGATCTTTGGCTGAAGGTTTTTCAGTCCTGTGGAGGAAGTCATGCTGCATTTTTCACCTGCAAGATTGAAAACTGGAGGGAATCTTGTTTGTGTCTAATAACAAGTTAGGCCAGAATCCCCTCTGATTCAGGATGCCAACTGATGTGGATTTACCAAGATAGAGCGTGGCAAAGTGACACCTGTTGTTGATGCTTTCCTGGTGTAGTCTTCCAGGCACAGCTTGTGGAATCTTGAGCCAGTGAATTTTTAAAGAAGTTCAGCATTGAGGTTCAAGAATCTTTTCTCCTGCAGTTGGCTTTTTGAACCTGCACAGATACTTGGCATGTTGTGGTGGTGAGCTTTGCACTTTAGCTACATGCTTTGTTGGAGAAGGATAAAAACCCAATTTTCTAAACCTGCCATTGGATACTTCCATTTGATACCATTTATGACTGTGGGAAATAATGAGTAATGCATCACTGCTGACCTTCTCCATGCCTTTCAGGACTGTGTGGATCTCTGCTGTATCACCTCAGTGGCCTTCCTCCCATGCTGGAGTCTCCATCTGAGTGTCAGTGATTATGCAGAAGCTATTCCATGCTCTTGATTACTCTGCTCACTTGTGAAAGCTGCGGTTTGCCGTGTTAACATCTATCACAGACACATGCCAAACGTACTTTATTTGCCTACATATTTATTTCTGTAAGACATATACTTGGACAGGCTTAAAGATATACAGGTGCTGCCAGGATTCTTTTCTTCAGCAATTTTTTTTTGGGGGGGGGGGAAACTGTCTCAGTACTGGCACGTAACAGACAGGAGGTGCTGACTGCTAAGGGTGTTTGAAGATCTGGCTCAGTTGCTTCCATCCTGATAGCTTGAGCGATGCTTGTTTAGATGATGCTTTGCTCTCTGCCTTCCTCCCCATGTACGCTCCTAGTTTCTAAGAGCAGTGTCCCTGCATCCCTCCACTAAATATCTTTTTACTCCTACAGATGGCAGCCTGAACTGTACCCTGCACATCTGAAACTTTAGTGAGTGGAATTCATCCAGGGGCAGGGGCATCAGTCCTTGCCAGCTGTGGGGGTATTTCTTTGAGCTCTGCCCAAACTAAGTGGTACTGCCACCAAAAATTAGCCTGCTTTCCTTGTCCGGATGCTGTACTGCTTACTTGGGGTGGTAGTTGGGATTCATCTGTCTGTATGGTCTCAGCAGCTGTCAGAGGAATTGCTTTGTGCTCCTTCAAGTGAATTGCTTATTGCTATAACTGTTACATGCTTATCCCCTTCTTTTGATGATCTTCCGACCTACCTGTCCACCTGTAGGATTGCTGCCTGTTGCAGAACCTGACAGTTTTAACATTTTGCAACCAGAAGAATTTTGCTTCAACACTAACCATACTGCTCATGTTTACTTATGTTAGATCACTCCCAGGGCACTTTGCAAATCAGTGTCTCCACTACTACTGAAATGCAGCCACTTCTGAAGTAGAAAGTAAAAAAGGAGAGGTTGAGACCAGGTCATGCTAACCCTTTTCTCTGTGTAAAGTGCTGCACATTCTTCAGTACTGACAGCCTGAAAGGGAACCATGGCTTTTAAAGCCCTACGTTATTTAACCTGCCTACCAAATTATGTGTGCTGCTTGATTTGTGTTTAGTTTGTGAAAAAAATTTATTCCAGCTTGCCAGAACTGGGAACTTCATTGCAGGTAATATGAATAGTGACGATGGTGATTTCAAACCTTTTAGTAAAGAAAGCATCTCACAGCCAGAAATCAAATTTGCCTAGGTTACATATTCCCTTTATTAAGCATCTCCACATTTATGAAATATAGCAATCTTGTGAGAAACCCTGTTCATCATGTAATGCTGGCTTATAATGACAGTCTTTCAGTGTAGCTGTGTATAAAACCATTGTAACAAGCTGTTGAGCACTTAGTCCTGTGCTCTGTGGGCCTTGTGATTTATGTTGTGTTTGGAAGTAGCTAGCATATCTGTTCAGAGAAAGGAGGCTGGGGCTGTCCTTTTAAACTATCAAGCTGTGTTTGTAGCTCTGACTGTTGAATTTGAAGCTCATCTTGTAGTGCTCCGCTGCTGCTGTATGCATTTGCTATCCTACATTTAAATATAGTATCCAAAGCGTTGCATAAGGACTGAGAAACGTAGCTCTAGTGTGGCATATACTTTGCAAGGCCCTCTCTGCTCTTGGGTGTTAAACCAGGAAAATCTAAAAGCTAGTGTGAAGTCATATACATTTGAACAGGCGAGCATGTCTGTGTTACTTTGATTATAATTGTTTTCTTGCAATCATAGAATCGTTAAGGTTGGAAAAGACCACTAAGATCATCTAATCCAACCATCAACCCTTCAGCACCGTGCCCTCTAAACCATGTCCCTCAGTGCCACGTCTGCATGTTTCTTGAACACAGTGCTCAAACCATTGAAATGGCCACATCTTCTAACAAAGCAAGGGGTAGGAGGACAAGTGGAAGGACCAAAGAGAATTTCTTTTTGCCAGTTTATCTCTGCTGAGTTCTCAAATCAACCTTAGATGAACCAGAAAGCATTGCTTGCTGGGATGGATCCTGGAATCCATGCAGCTCTGCTGCTGGGTTGATTAATTCCTGCTCACAGAGCCTAATCCAGGCTCTGCTCCATGGGTGGGGGATCATTAGCTGTGTCTGTTTTATCTGTCTTGGTGTATAGGAACTGCATCTGCTCTGTTTCTCTTGCTGGGCTTAAAGAGCCTTTAGTGGCTTGGAGTTGCAATGTGGAAAGGACTGCATGGTCCTTTTTTTAAAAAAATACCTGGAAGGTGCTTTATTTTTAATTTTAGTATTTCTTATCTTCACTGTGGCTTCTAGCTTCACTGAAGGTAAGTGTGAGCATCCACTCCATGGTTGTTATCAGTTCATGGGAATCTTTGTACCGTGATATCAGTAAGGCACTGAAAGAGTGATAGGCTTATGTTAAATAGAGTCACTTTCCCCTCTTTTGCCCCTTTTCTTTTCCCACTTGGCCCTGTCTTTCAGGTGCATTGTGGTACTTGCCTTCAAAGATTGTATTTAACACCATTGGTGTTTAACGCTTCCCCCCCTTCCCCCCCCCACCACTTCAAGGCAAGTATTCTTCCAGGTATGTGACTACAAACAATGCAAAGGGAACAGTCTCAGCAGAGATCTGCACGTGATGTTTGTTATCTCTTTGAAGCTGCCTTTTTCTTAGGACTCTTTTGATATTTAGGTATTTCCTCCCTTCTTTCCCTTTTCTGGTGCATCTTTGCCAGGATAACAAAAAGAATAGTGACAAACTAGTGTCAAATTAGTGACCTCAGAATTATTTCCTTGGCAACATGAGTTGTGCGTTTGACATCACAGCATGAAGAAGCAGTTTATAATCTACAGCAAAACCAGCTTAAGGAGGGGTTTCTGTTTTTGTTTTCCATCATTTATCTCCTCACCTCTAGCTGTTCGTTCCTGCCCATGTACTCTAGTTTGCATCCTCTTCAGAGGTGCTGATACAAGTGTTTGTGGGCTTTCCTCTGGAAGTGAAATCACGGAAATGGTCTGAGTCGACAGTCCTCTTCCATTTTTTCTGTCTTACAGCAGTCACACCCTGCAAACTTTTGTTTTGGTTGCTAAAAGGGAAGCAAACTGTAGGCTTTCCCAGTATGGGAATGAGCAGCTGGGGAAAGAGGAAGAGCTGCTGGGAGGTGCTTACTCTCAGTGCAGGAATCACAAAACTGCGTGCTGTTTGTACAAATAGGCTTGAGAGTTTCAGCTGTGAAGCTGCTCTCTTCTTCCCACTTTACCATGCATTGATGCAAAGCTCTTTATTGCATTAGCTGTGCAAAAAATGTGTTGCTTCTGTAAATTGTGTCGTCTTTGGCTGTTCTTTCTGCTACCAGAGTCATTTCCATCATAAGAGAATATCTTTCTTAATTACGCTTGATATTGTGTAAGGAATTCGTGTTTCATCATGTCAGATTGTGGTCCAGGTTTTGTTCTGGCTGAGCTGGTACAGATCTCACGCATCTTTGCCAACACTGGTGCAGTGTCTTTAGTGGGGGAAGTCAGTTTTTGCATAGAGGATCAGGAGCAGAGTATCAGTCACTGCAGAGAGATTGTACTGGTGAAGCTGAACTAACAGTGAGGAGTGACAGAGATTTTATCAGAGTCCAAACTTCTCTTACGAGGAATGCATTTATGTTAAAGGCCAACTAAATGCTGCAACAGCACATTTCCAAGAAAGCTGCCATATTGCGAATGAAGATGGACTGTGAAGGGACTTTGTGGCATATGCACATTTGGTCCAGGCTCATTCAGCGGCTGCCATCAGTTCCAATATTTCATTTGTTTTTAGATTTTGAAGTTAAAACTTTTCCAGGGAGCAGCATGTAAAATGGGACGACCTGTAGAAAGCTAGAACTCCAGCCAAAAGACACCTCCTTTTTGTGTCTGCATGTTGCAGCTGTCTATCTCTTGGCAGCAGGCAGCGTGGTGTAGAACGTGATGTTTCAGCGCTGAAGCATGAAAGAGTGAATTAAGGAATCCAGGACTTAAAATGGTTTTCTTCTCTAGGGGATTTCAGTCTTCATCATCGCTTAATTATTTGGAGGCTATTTGCAGAGGTGTTTATTTCTTTCAGTAATTCTTTATACTCAAAATATGAGAAACTAAGA